GTTTTGCTGGTCTGCAGGTGCAGGAGAAACTGGGAGGAGGGTGAAGGGTCCGAACTGGCATTTGGATGTGCCAGTGGGATGTTCCATATCACACAACGTCAGGCTCAGTGTATAGGTGAGGGCTGACCGGGATGTTCCATATCACAGAACGTCAGGCTCAGTGTATAGGTGAGGGCTGACCGGGATGTTCCATATCACAGAACGTCAGGCTCAGTGTATAGGTGAGGGCTGACCGGGATGTTCCATATCACAGAACGTCAGGCTCAGTGTATAGGTGAGGGCTGACCGGGATGTTCCATATCACAGAACGTCAGGCTCAGTGTATAGGTGAGGGCTGACCGGGATGTTCCATATCACAGAACGTCAGGCTCAGTGTATAGGTGAGGGCTGACCGGGATGTTCCATATCACAGAACGTCAGGCTCAGTGTATAGGTGAGGGCTGACCGGGATGTTCCATATCACAGAACGTCAGGCTCAGTGTATAGGTGAGGGCTGACCGGGATGTTCCATATCACAGAACGTCAGGCTCAGTGTATAGGTGAGGGCTGACCGGGATGTTCCATATCACAGAACGTCAGGCTCAGTGTATAGGTGAGGGCTGACCGGGATGTTCCATATCACAGAACGTCAGGCTCAGTGTATAGGTGAGGGCTGACAGGGATGTTCGCTCTCGCTCTTCCAGGATTGTGGTTGCAGGTTTGGGATTTTCGCTCCTCTGGGATCGTTATCCGGGAACGGGCTGGACATCAGTCACTGGGCGGTGAAGCCACTGCACTGTGCGTTGCTCACTTATATATTCTATTACTATTATTATTGTTTTTATTTTAATCCAATTATTAAATTGTTCTTATCTCAACCTGTGAATCTACTTAACCATTATCCCCCAGTTTTCTCCCCTGTTCCCTGGGGCAGATGGTGGAGAGTGGAGAAGCAGCTGTGTGGTGTTTGGCTGCCAGCCAAGTTAAACTGCGACACCGAGGAAGTCAGTGAAGCTGAAATGCAGCTCTGTGCTCTAAGCATACGGATGCATTAGTTTAATATTTCTATACTCTGATTTTCTATGTTGTGTTTTGATTTCAGTTAAGCGTGTATACTACCACACGGTCAAACATTGGTGCTGAGAGTAATATTGATCTCATTTTGAATGTGGAAGATTTCGATATAGAGTCCAAATTTGAAAGGTAGGTATCTGAACTACTCATTCTTTGTTTAATTCTGGAGTGTGTATCCTAACTGGTAGTTACATGTATGGAGGTATGCACAAAGACTGTTCATGATAGTTGTTTTGAAAGAGTAGAGTTGTTGTTCTTGCATTCTTTGTTTTAGAGTTAAAGCTATTTTTGCATGCTGTACAGGCTATTCAGTTCACACTTGTTTTCATAAAGTAATAACCATATTTGCCATGTTAAGGCAGGAAAGATGCTTGTTGGGTTTCAGCCTTAGAGGTGAGGACAAAGTGCTGCTGTTAATATTCTTAGAATATTTCATTAATTAAATATTGGAAAAGTGTCTACCTTGATGGAAATAGTATGCCAAGTTCATGTGGCACTGAGGAATAGGCTTTTAGACAAACTTTTATTACATTGTAAATCATCTCATAGTTGCAAGAAGCAAAACAAAGCTATGCTAGTAAATATAGCAATGCTTCTTTCTTCTCACGCTTTTCTGTAATGATTCCACTGCTAATAACTGTAAAAGTAAAACTCCTTTTTCTGGTAGTTTAGGGTTTTGAGATCTTCTGAAGGGATGTTGATGCTAAGGTGGAATAAGATTGTGCCCTTAGATAAATTTCTGAGTATAACACTGTACTCTATGCCTCTCTACAATTAAAATCACTAGAACTACTTCTTTTGGACTTCATATTTGCTGCCTCACTTTTTTTTCTTTAAAATAGTTGTCTTATTCTTGATTGTCTTGTTGCAAAGTCTCCCAGGTTCTTTCACATTCTGCATTTTCTATAATTAAAGAATGCCTTGGTCCGCAGTTTAGATCGTATTAAACTTTGTCTCTGACAGACTTAAAATATAAAAATTGTTTTACTGACACAGGAGTAGAGGAGGCTTTTTGCAAAGTTGCATGTAGGATGATTTCTTGGCTAACACAAGGGGAGTGACTTCATGTTTTGGGGCTCCTATCTAGAGTTCTGTGCTTGGTGTGCCATAGCTGAGAAGATACTTTATTAATGCAAAGTGCTTGGCAAAACTTTGTGATTTTTTTTTTTTTTGTTTAATTTTGTATTGTGTATACAATCTGTGATACACATTCAGCACACAGAAGGCTGTTTTCTACAAGCACTGTAATAATTTTGGCCCTGTGACCTATCAGAAGAGGAAAACAACAGAAGATCTGATGATGCAGTCCCATGTTACCTAGGGTAATAAAGGATGAATTGGACAAATGTTAAAGTGTCTTAAGATAATAGTAAAACTTTGGAAATGCGAATGGAGTGTATACATTGGTCTCATCCAACCATGGCTCATTGGGACATATTAGCCAGAACTAATTGTTGTGTGCCAGGAAACCCAAATGCCTTGTCTTTTTTTTTTTTTTTCTTTTAATGTTCTCAACCTTTTCTTGCTTGCTTCTAGAACATATTCAGTGATCATTATGTGTAATAGCTAAATATTTCAACATGTGCTATGTCATCTCATAATGTATCTCTTTTGTATTTCAGGACAGTGAATGTCTCTGTACCAAAGAAAACACGGAATAATGGCACATTATATGCATATATATTTCTTCATCATGCTGGCATTTTGCCTTGGCATGACGGTAAGCAGGTGCATATAGTAAGCCCTCTGACCACATACATGGTCCCTAAACCAGAAGAGATTAATTTGCTCACTGGAGAATCAGCCACACAGGTAGGTGGGGTTTCCATCTATAGATGAACAACTGCAAAAAAAGTAACTTCTAGTGCTAATGCTTCTGGTGCCAGCGTTTACTGTGCTTGCATCTTTACCCTAATTATGATATTAGTTAAAAAAACAAAAAAAAAAATCAAAACCTCTCTTCTTGATTGTCAGCTTATATGCTAATAGTACACCAATTAGCACAGCAGAGGTAGAGCCCTCTGTAACACTGGTTGCTATCAAAACACTTCCCTAGTTAACATTAAATACTTCTTTAAGGATTCATTGCTTTTGGTAGAAATACTATATTGTTCTGTAACAGTATGATGCTGCTTTGTATAGTCAGTTGGATTCATGGGAAATAATACGCTTTGCTTTGGTAAAAGAGATGTAAACTTGACTGTGACAGGAGGTCGTAGTGAGGTGGGTGTCAGGAGAGTAAGACAGTATCCTTTGACAAATGCTATGGAGGCAGGTGGGAAATGTAGCGTTACTTAATGAAATACTTGTGAATGGCTGTTGTACCTCATATTCCAGTGGAGCTTGAGAATTCCACTCTGTCCTTTGGAATCTAAATTACCTGTAGCCAGCAATGCTGTTTCTAAATCCTGACAGAATAAATTTGAAAATGAGTTGAGGCTAGAGTCCAGCACTAAAAGTCAGAACAGGTGATGTTCAGTGGAAGAAAAGCAAGTGTAATGCTCTGGGGATAAGCATCTACTGAAAGCTAAGGTGATGCTTGGTTTTAGCTCTGCTTTACAGAGCATTTGGAAGCTCAGAAGTTCAAAACAGTAGTCTGATCTTTTTACTCACCCAAATTAGTACCGTTCATCATCCATATCCTTTTGACTGTTTTGAAGTAACATCTGATTATTCTACAATCCTTATTTGCAAGTGATTTTTTTCTGACTAGTATCCAGATTCCTAAGGTATGAAAATTAATTACCTTAATATTCATTCTTGATGAGCAAGGCTGTGAATGGGCACTGAAGTTTTTCAGTGTCAGATTATAGTGGGCCTTTACAATCTGTTCTGTCCTATTTGAGCAAAATGCATGGTCTGGTGAAAATTAAGGTAAAGTGTTCCTTGGTGGACTTCTTTTTTGTGTTATAGTTAACAGCTCCCTATTTTTCGTGAGTTAGAGTACTATCCTATTCAGAATTTTGTATTGTTTAGAAGTATGTCTGTTTGTTGTATATTTAAAGCAAATTGAAGCAGAAAAACAGACCAGTGCTCTAGATGAACCTGTCTCTCACTGGAGGTCAAGATTAACCTTGAATGTCATGGTGGAAGATTTTGTGTTTGATGGATCATCCCTCCCCGCTGATGTTCACCGTTACATGAAGATGTAAGTTGATGACTTAATTTTCCTAATTTGTTATCATAAACTTACTACACATTTCTTAAAAAATCCTCCCTGGCTTCCTTTAGTATTTTATGTTTCAATTGGAGCTTAGGAGAGAAGAATCGATACTCTTAATGCTTGCATTTCAGTAGTGACAATTAGTAAGATACCATGTACTACAGTACTGTATTGGAAATACCTTGTTCCTGGGAAGCTCAGAGTTTAAAATACTTTTTTATATGGAGTTATCATAGTAAGATAAAGCAGAACTACAAAGACACAAGTAAAATGCTACAGTAGACTTCATTTCCCTTTGTTCTCAAATCATACTTCTGGCCTTTAAACCAGTTACTGTCCCTTCACCTTTCCAGTTATCCTTCTTCTGCAAATTCTCTATACAAACTGCAAGTGCTTAAGTGGCACAGCTGATCTCCTATGGCATTTTTTTTCTGCCTCTATGATTGGCTTTATTTTACTTTGGCAGTGTGTGTTCCTGCATTATGTAATTTTCTCAAGAAAATAGTAAAAAGCAGGGGTAGGTTTTTGGGCCACTAAATGCAGGCAGTAGCTTCTGTTCATAGCTTGCTTAAATTACTTCCAGTGTTAACCATATAAATAGTGCCGTATTGGCTTGTGCTGCCGTATGTTGATGCCTTTCTCTACAAGTATCCTGTTCTATCCAGAAGTAGTTGCTTAATCAGCAGACCCTGGGGTTCTGGAATAGCTTCCCCACCACAGGAGATAAACTTAGCAACTCATAAGGTAGACCCGTAACAAGGAGGGGTTGGGCTGGGGTTGATGAACAAGGGTATCTTTTCTGGTCATGTTTAGATACACATTAATGCTGTTTTATCATTGCATTACACAGGAAATAGTTTGGATATGAAATAGCCTGCTGCAATTCCACTAGCAGCAGCTTTGATTGTAGTTGTTGCATAGAAATTTAAAACTCTTCAGTTAAATAACTGCACAGTATTTCTGAGTCTCAAGTTTATACTTTCCTGTATTACTGTGTACCCTTGTGTATTTAGTATGCAAAATTTCTTAGCATGCATAGAGACTTCTTTCTTTTGTTAACAACTAAAATTCAACTTTCAGGCTTTAAAAAGCTCCTTTATGCTAGTTACATAGACTTTTACCGATAACATCAGAGTGTAGATAAGTGCTATTCTAGTGAAGAATTTTAAGAGCTTGTCTATCTTAGGAAATTAGGCTAAAGACTTTTCTAAGATACTGGTAAAGCAATTGCATATTGGTCATAATTTTCTAAATGACTTCCCAGTGGTCAGTTTTGTAGAGCGCTTAAAGGCTGGTAGGTGTTTATTGGTTTCATGCAGGTTGGTGAGGTCATAGAGCAATCCAAATGAGTGCATCCAAATGAGTGAGGAGAAGGCAGGGAAGATTTCTACTGCTTGTGCACTCTCTCCAGTAGTACCTAAGCTTCTGGTGTGCATGCCAGCCATCATGTTCATAGTCCTGTGCCAGCTAAAGCATGTGCTGTTGCTGACCTGATGTCATTGGGGATGCAGAGGAGTGGGGGAGATGGTGGAGGGTTGTCATTGTTGCAGTAGGAGAGGGATACTTGAGACAAAGGATAGAAATATATGGTAGTAAACTTCAGCACGTTTTTCTTCAACAAACTTTTTAATTTCCTCTACCGTTGGTCATGCAGCAGCTTCAGCATCATCACAACCAATTCTTTTGTTGTTGTTGCTTGTTCTGTCTTTCTACAGAGAAGTAAAAACAAACTGAAAGGAGGAATGTGACATGCCTACTGATTTTTTATACAGACATCTCTCAAGGAAAGACTCTAGACTAGTGGCTTCTTTCTTGCTGTGTGTTAAAAGAAAATGTGTCTGAAAAGATGGTGGGAAATATCTACATGGGTAGATCTGAAAGTGATGAGTGAGTGGTATTTTGAATAAAAGTAGTTTTCTTTTTAGATCACTGCAGTCATAAAATCCATGTTTAAACATCCTAGGGTTCAGTTGGGGAAGACAGTGCATTACCTTCCAATATTATTTATTGATCAGCTAAGCAACAGAGTGAAAGATTTGATGGTGAGTAATAGAATACCTTTAATTACATTTAACAGTTTTAACAGTAATCTTCAATGTTGTTGTAATTAAAATTTTGTCATAGATTGTTTGCTGTAATTAAAATTATAAATTCACAGAAGGACTATCAATGACTGTTTAACTTAATGTGGTCAACTGTGGTAACTGCAGAGGCTGGATCTGGGTTTTGAGACTCCCCTCTGACAGAAATATCTGCCAAGCACTCCCTTCTATTCCACTAAAAGATACTTGGATTCCATTAGATTCCAATTTTGGGTGGGTATGAGGGACATCACTGCAGCAGCAGCTGTGGTGGGAGTAGTCTCATAAGGAAATTGACTTCCTAAATGGATGAAGTTGTGTTAGCATCCCAGAGCAGCTTCTGATATCTTCTAGGGAAATGACCATACTCAACACAGCTGATACTGGAGTTACGCTGAGATAGGTCAGGAGCTACTACTCTCTTACCAAAAACTTCAGTCGTGGTTAAATTTCCTGGTGGTGCTCTCTATCATGTTCGAGTAAGGAGTAACTTGAGCACCCAAAAGCTTGATGTGGCAGTACCTCCAACGATTTTGTGCACTCAAACAAATCAGGACTTAAAAACTTCAATAATGGAATTACAGAAGGGTGAAGTTGGATGAGATGTCTGGAGGCTGCTAGTCCAACAGCCCCGCTCAGAGTAGGGTCACCTAGAGTGAGTTGCTCAAAACCTTCTCTAGTTGGGTTTTGGATATATCGAAGGAAGGAGATGCCATAGCATCTCTGTGCAACCTGTTGTAGTGTTCAGTCACCCCTGCAGTTAAAATAAGGGGTTTTCATACATTTAAATAGAATTTCCTGTATTCCGTTTTTGCCCAACTCTTGTGGGAAATCATGCAGTTCCTTTACTACAAGTTACACGTGGCAGGCCCTTGCATCTAGACCATGTTCATCTTAGCAGCTCTTAGTTAACCAAGTCCTGCAGTTCTTTTCAGTTGCACTGACTGGAATTTAGCAATCAGAGTTACTGAGAACAAAAGTCTTGGGGAATGTCTCAAAAGTGTTAAATAAGTATGTCTGGATTCAGCATTTTCTAGATGGAAGTCGTGGTAGATGTCAACTTGCCACTTTAGACCTTCTAAATTGTCTTTCCAATTCATTAGCTTGAGCTCAGACAAATAATTTTGTTACTTAGTGTTGGGGAGAATCTTCTTTAAGAACTTGTATCCCCACCACCCCAAGCTTGTTCAGCAAAATAAACTGCTGAGCGTTTGTTACAAATCTTGGTAGCAGATAGTTTTTTTCAGTATTACTTTAGATATACTTTTGTGGTGTCTTTATCAGTGGTCATTGTCCTTTGTTTTAAGTTTCTTACCACAGCTCATTCAGTTCAGTACATTCATATGAGCTTCTAACTGTCATGTGCCCTATTTACAAATAAATTCAGCATTCTCATATTATTAATAACATCCCTGCAGTTGTCATGCATGTCATGGTTAATGCCTCACTGCCTTAAAGTCATTAAAGATCCTGAGAAGTGCTGCAAAGACTATTCCATCAAAACGAGTGAAATTCCCCTTCAGCACTGGCTTATGTAACTTCACAGTAGTGACTTGCCAAACTGCTCCTGGAGAAAGAGTGGTCTGATAGTATCTATACCGTGAGATAATGAGGGGTAATTGAAGAGCAGGAAAGAATAATGGAAGAAGGTGATACAGCTTTTGTGGAGCAGGGTCTATAAATAGGGGCATAGACACTGGTATGCCCAACCTGAAGTCGTGGAGCTGAAGATGCATTTTCCATGCTTGTGGTAGGCTCTGTAGATTTTGAACTGACTATTATTTTGACCTGCATGTCTTCTATGGTAAGTACTGTAGTCTAGAGATTATGTGTTCCTCATGTTCTTAAGTATTCTTGCCAGTGCTGGGGGTTTGGGGATTGCACAGCGTTCTGATTTAATCAAGAGAGAACTTTAAAATTCATACTGCTGAACTCATTTGCCTTGTTTCTACGCTGTTTTGTAGTAGTGATAGGGAGCTAGAAGTAATATGTGGTGTTCTGAGGCCATACTACAAGAGTAGGTTGTATTGCAGGAGTTTGTTAAGTTCCTAGTTTTCAAAGGCTTAGCAACCATCACACTCAACTAGATTGTGTGGCAGCACTTGTGGACTTTTCATTGTTCATTGAGAAAGAGTTCAATCTTTATATGTTCATTTAATTTGCTTTTGGTGTTGAAGAATTCTTATCTCTGTCTTATATTGCAATCTGATTTTCTTTGTATGCTACTCCTAACTCTTTAGTGGTGCTTTGTTTGTGTGGACTGCACTTGCTGCATATTACTTACCCACGCATTTGCAAAATTTTTGTTTCCTGTCCATCCTGCACAGATAAAATTTCATAGAATCATAGAATGGTTTGG